ATGTATAATTGTCCTGCGTTTATGTGTCAGCCTTTCCCTTTCTTGTTATATCCTTTTTTAATTGGCATATCTCTCCCATCCACTTCGCTCATTCCTCTTCTTTCAAGATTTCATGACTACTTATTAAGTTTAAAATTTTCATGTTATGCACTGTAGGATACATTGTGGGCAATGCTGGATTACTTGTAACTCTGATACAGTTCATAATTGCATATGGAATTTTGGTATTTACCGTGGCATCTGTATGTGCAATTTCAACAAATGGGGCCGTTGAAGGAGGAGGAGCTTACTGTATCCTTGAATAAAATTTGCTAAGAGATACAATAGAATAGATTTGCTGAATATATGATCCACATTGTATTACGAGATAAAGTATCACAATTTACTACGTATATCACTTGAAGTGTATGGATGTAACACTATACAACACAAACATTTTTTTCCAATATCCACTACACTATTTCTGTACAGTTGCTCATATAAAAAATTAATCCAGAAGCAGAAATGCTTTATCACGTATACGTTTTGTGAAAATGCATGATTTTGGGGAAAGTGAAAAGCTATTGCATGAAAACTAACGGCGCGAGGAAGTTTATTTTTTAATCAAAAGATAGAGATTTTCGACAATTTATCCGTATAAACAGCTTTTTCTTTCTGTACTTTTTAAACAATTGTTGAAGTTTGATAAAAAGCTGACGCGAGTATTTTTATACATTGTTTTTGTATTTATATGAAAATCGCTTCATCCAGCAGGAATTTGCTATATAATATAGTATTGGGTTCTACGGACATTTCTGATAAAGAAATGATGTACAGAAATATGCAATATCTCACTTTTACCGAAAATCATGCACTTTTACAAAAACTGCTGTTTTTTGGGAACGGTACGTTAAACAGCAATTCTGCTTCAGGACTTAGTTTTAGCATGAGAAACTCTATTAGAATCAAATAGGGAATGTTTAAAAAATGAAAAACTTTTCATTGTTGTACTGTGTAATAAAACACATTAAATGTATTCCTTATTAAAGATATAGTCATGATTAGTCGTACTCTAGGACCAGAATTCGGTGGTTCTATCGGTACACTATTTTTTATGGCCAACATTGTGTCAAGTGCTCTTTGCATTTCTGGATGTGCGGAGGGTTTAATAGAGAACTTTGGACCGTCCGGTTATTTGACTATTTTAATACCAGATGGTAGATGGTGGAGATTTTTATACTGTTCTGTATTAAACAGTGCCAATTTAGTTGTATGTATGATCGGAGCAGCGATGTTTGCAAAAACTAGTGTTGCAATCTTAGCAGTTGTATGCGTATGCTTAACAAGCGTTTTCGTTAGTTTTCTGGCGCAAGGATACATCGAGGTAATTATATAAAAAGCACCCAATCTCTTAATCAATGGACTATTGAAATCATGCGTTATTTATTAAAGATACCAATCCCTCATGCAAATTCATTGGTCCAAAATGCAACGGAACATGTGAATGGCACATATACAGGATTGTTAACATCTACTCTTATGAGTAATCTTTACTCCAACTACAGCCGCGATTATTCTAGTAACGGAATAATGACTGACTTCGCAAGCGTTTTTGGCGTATTATTTAGCGGCGTGACTGGTATAATGGCTGGAGCTAATATGAGCGGTATTTATTAAATCAAATTTATAAGACGAAATAATTAATATCTTATTGTTCCTTTAACGTTTAATTATCATTCGTAGGTGAACTGAAAAATCCAGGGAGGAATATCCCACATGGAACCTTGTCGGCAGTATTATTTACATTTATATGTTACATACTTCTTTCTATTTTCACAGCTGCAACGACAAGTAGATTTTTATTGCAAAACGATTTTATGTACATGATGCCAGTTAATATTTGGCCGCCATTTGTGGCAGTTGGTGTGTTAACAGCAACGTTTAGTGCTGGCTTAAGTAATTTAATAGGATCTAGTAGAGTCTTGGAAGCTCTAGCGAAAGATAATGTGTTTGGTAAGTACATGAATTTCTGCTAAATTTATTTATTTCGTTTAAACATCGTCGTGTAATGCTTACAGGATCCGGATTAAATTTTATAACACGGATGACGTGGAAGGGAAATCCAATTGCTGCAGTGTTCACTTCGTGGTCTTTAGTTCAAATCATTTTATTGATAGGTTCTTTGAATACAATTGCTCAGGTCAATTCCGTATTATTTTTATTGAGCTACTTGGCAACTAATCTAGCCTGCCTCGGACTTGAGCTTGCAAGTGCTCCAAACTTTAGGTGCGTTTAAGTTACTATAATTTAAGATAATTTTTTTAGGACAGAAATATTCTTCTGCTCCTTTTTACAGGCCGACGTTTAATTACTTTACATGGTACACAGCAACAATCGGATTGCTAGGCACATTAGTAATGATGTTCGTCATAAATAGTATTTATGCTTCCAGTAGTATAATACTGTGCTTAATCTTAATCATCGTCTTGCATTTATTTTCTCCGAGTAAAAATGCTCCCTGGGGTAGCATATCTCAGGCACTCATATTTCATCAAGTTAGGAAATATTTGTTAATGCTGGATTCGCGTAAGAACCACGTGAAATTTTGGCGACCGCAGATGCTGTTAATGGTGGCGTCTCCAAGATCAGCGTGTCCACTCATAGATTTTGTAAACGATTTGAAAAAGGGAGGGCTCTATGTCATAGGACACGTGAAAGTTGGCGAATTTATAGGCCAGACGATTGATCCTACCATAGACGAATATCCGCATTGGCTAAGTTTGGTCGATCATATGAAAGTAAAAGCATTCGTCGAATTGACGATTACGAAAACTGTACGCGAAGGATTGCATCATTTAATTAGAATATCTGGCATGGGAGCGATGAAACCAAATACAATCATCCTCGGGTTTTATGATGAAGAAAACCCTACAGATTTTTTCAAAAATTCCCAATATGCCACGGATATATTTGAGAACGTTTCGACATCACCGAACACTACTACTGCCTTCCCTTTAAGGCAAACGACTTCAGAGAAGAATTTAGATGCGATACAGTACGTAGGCATGTGTTCGGATGTTCTAAAAATGAAAAAGAATTTATGTCTATGTCGAAACTTTCATTTGTTGAACAAATCACAAATGACCAAGTAAGTATAATCGCCTTTTTAATAACAATATTTTAGTTTCTATAAGAGCTTGATGTGTCCAACATAACCGAGCTACCCGTCCTGATCAAGCTACCCGAATAGTTATATGTACCGAGTTCTCGCCCGACTTTTGTCGGTTCGACTCGAACTAGATATGTCCAGTACTCGCATACACCTATTAGTTTCATTACAAATAATGTTTCTCTCTTTTCAGGAATTCTTCATTAAAATACATTGACGTGTGGCCTCTGAATTTCTTCCAACCGACGGATCAAGATCCGTTCGACACAACGTCACTGTTTATGCTTCAACTCGCATGTATTATTAACATGGTACCCGCCTGGAAGAATTTGCACCTAAGAGTGTTCCAATGTGAAATTGCGGACAGCAATCCTAGTTTAAACGTCTCGGATTCGCAAAATTCAATTAGTGAATACCCGGTTTCTAACGAGCATCGTATAAGGAAATTGTTAAATATGTTGCGGATATCCGCTTCGATTAAAAAAATTCCAAAGTTTGGATTGAATGGCCATTGTCTTATCGAATCGAGGATGGATAGTCAATACGAATCAAGTACTGAATGTGATAATGTCTTAAGCAATGTTTCACGTACTTACATATTGAGGTAAACATCTTCATGCTTTTTTAAAAATATTTCGCTCGTTTCATAGTTCAAAAAATTTTTTTTATCATTTTTTGCAATATCCACTAGCCATTTAATTTTATCTTGCAGCGTGAATCAATTGATTAGGCAACACTCAGCTCAAACTGCTACGACGTTCATTTACCTGCCCGCGCCGCCGGCATCGAATTCTTGGGACGAAAATACCGTGTACCGTCAATATCTTCAACTATTGACAGAACTGACAGCAGATTTACCGCCTATAGTATTAGTGCATGGGGTCAGTGCTGTTACGTCGACAACGCTGTAGTAATTTCGCGTTACAGTGACACTGTAAATATAGAAATGACATTTCTAACTGTACAATTTTTTACCAAAAGAAAGTATTATTTAAATACTAATTTATATGACGTTTAAATTGTTTATAAATTTCTTACGCTTTAAGAAGAACAATCATTGGCATTAAAAAAAAAGCATAAAAATATTGTTAAAAGTATTTTATTTTACATATTAGCAGCTGCTTAACGATCGAATAATAATGCTTTCGTACTACGATAATAAAAATTGCGTGAAAAACAGACGTGGTTTATTACTGTGATACAGGACAAACTCTATAAAATAACTTTTAAAGAAGTAAAATATTTTTTAAACATTGTACTTTAACAACAATTCTGTAAACTGTCTCTCTCTTTACATTCTCATATAAGCATATATCGAACTATTTCTATACCGAACTTTTGTATTGCACTTGATGTTCATGAAAATGTAATCTAATAAGGAGCAATAAAACTGGACATAAAATCACAGAAAAAACTGTTGTATTTACGTGCCCAAATAAAAAGCTATACAATTAATTTATTGACTGTGTGTTCGTTCCATCGACTCTAAACGGGTTACGAATAAGAATAATATAATATGTTCGCTTGAAAATGTAAAGCGTACGAGACATTAGAAGCATAGTAGGGTGAAGAAACGAGAGAAACGAGCCAGACACGTCTCGAGATAAAAGGAACTCGACAAGGGATCCACTCCGTTGGAAACTGACTCGGCAAGATTGGATGGAGTGCATATTAAGCTCCCAGTAGATCTACAATGTCAAATAGCCCCAACTTATTTATTTGTTTCGTAGTGCAGGAAGGGTGAAAAAGAACGATCGGGAAAGGCAATAGATTGAATTCGTTCTGCGGGATGGGGGAAGAGGGAGGGGTGCATGTTTTTCAGCACGGGAGCTCGGAAATTAGAAAGTTGCTTGCTCGATGGAACCAATCGTTCCTATCGAATGAAAGATACATTGTTCGACACGAGTTCGTGATTATAAAACGAATCTATTTTGTAAGATAAAGAACTCCGGACTTCGAACTTAACAACATATTTATTCACGTTCTTCTATCAAGAGCTACTGTCGACGACTGTTCGAGTGTTCCCTTGTTCTTAGCGACGCAATTATTTGTTATAAACATGTTATTTATTATAAATGCATGGTAACGATCTAATAAGTGATCGATAGATCGATATTTTTCCAGTCTTACTTTCCCATCCTATTCTCGCTCGCTGATATTTATAACTGCAATGGGGGATTACGGAACGCATATTAAACCACCGTGTCCGGTCTCAGTTTTAATCACTGTTTCGTTCGAATTAACTCAGTCAATTAAACGGCTTGTCTGGTAGCGACAGCTCACTGCCATCCGCTGTTCTGAACAATATAGCTTACGTATGGTAATTCGAAATAGCATCCCCGTGAGCACCATATGTCAGCGACATGGAATTAATTATTACCATGGGTTCCTTATTCTATTTCCCCCTCGTTTCGTCCCTTCTGGCCGCGTAATGATATCACCCACTACGATCATTCTCTACGCTTCGTTCTCCGATATTAGAAATGTTATTTCTAATACATTTCGTATCACGTTTCTTATCTTGCGCATTATTATGTTGCATACCGAGATAATAGAACTTCCCGTGGTCACTAATATATGTACATATCTAACAATGCTTGTTGTACATAAATGAATACCAGTGCTTAGTATTCGTTGTGCTGGACACAATTATGTTAATCCTGGGATTTATGCAATATAGAAATATTTTCATACATATAACGTACAGTATGGACAAATTGTACAATAGAGTCCTTAATAGTATTCTAGAAGATATTTCTTTGTTTGTGAACAGTTCTTCCACTTTTTACTAATTTAATATAGTTTATTTTAGTGCTATGCAAATAAAAGTTTTTATTAGTTTAACTCCCTGACTCTAATTATTTTTAAACAAATAATACTAACAAGGTGGTCTCCTTTAACTAATATAACACAATAACAAGAATTAATGAAAGTACTGCTATCTTTGCCAGGAATGCCATCACATTCTGTACTGTCTGAAATATGCATTCCGTCCGTTCTTGTTTGCACTTGATATTCTCGCGTTCATCCGCTCTTTGGTGGTAAATCAACTCAGCCAGTGAACAGACCGTGGATTTCTGGTCGAGCTAGGTAAAGTACATATATACACGTAGGTACAGTACATAAATTCGCGTTGCGGAATAGGTAGGCACGTAGCTTTGAAGCGAGTCAGATCAGGCGGACGATACACGCGACGTTAGTTGGTTGCCGGGCTGGTAGTGGAAAAGTGTGGTGCGGCGCGACCACGTTGATCTACGAGCGGCCGGAAACGAGAGGATGCACGGTTTAAGAGCCGCCGATAGAAGAAACCGGAAACGCGCGCAGTCCTCGACGGGGCGAGGAAGGAGGGAGATAGACGCGATGAAAACGTTTTAGGGCGTAAAGGACGGCGGTGTCGGCTATAGCAAAGCCAAGTGCGTTCGCGGGATTTTAAGAAGGGTTGGAAATAGTCGCGCGCGGTAGGAACGGTTGCGAAATGGGCGGCGGCAGCGGCACGGTGCGACGGGCGATGGAGTCACTTTCACGAGGCACAATCCCAGGGTCGCGAGACTCGCGTTTGATCGATGGCGCAATACAACTGCGATAAAAACGTTTTATGCGATGCGATACGATTGCGTGACGTTTTCCAACTTGAAAAGCTTTCGAAAGGAAAAATAAATATTTCGTGGAATGCGTCTCGATCATTCTGCGATTCCCCAGACACAGGAATTGTATTAGAAGATCGATGAAAATTGTGAATTCAAGTTTTCAATAGCGAAATTGAAGTAATAATATCTGTCCCGTAGATTGATTAATTATTCTAGACGAGTCTCGTGATCTTCTCGCTCTAATTTCTCATTTCATTTTTCATCTCCACTCGTTTCCCTTCTTTGGCCAGATTCTACTGCTCTCGCGCGCATAACACATCAGCGGAGGAGATGGAATAATTTCTCCAAGTTCCAGGTGAGGGTCTCGCTCGTTCATCCGGAATATCTTGTCTTCTTGCATCACCGCTTTAAACCAGCGGAGCACTTGAATAATGTTTATACGACACTGATTGCCCATAGAGATATCTACGAAGATTCCCGGGGAAGATTCAAAACTTTCTGATTCATTACCAAGAAAAGTTTCTTTCAAATTTAAACCGTCGAAATGAGACCGGATGTTCTTGTCCGCAACTTCGCTTTTAAATTCCTCTGGATGCGCAAAATTTGCATCATTTAATCTCATCGCCTTCCACATCTACACGTTCTGTTCTATTTTGTACGATTTCTTCTATTGTATACATATTTTAACCAGTTATCTGTGTCGATCATTTTGCAAAGTGCGCCCCAGTGTGTGTCGCGATAATCAAGCAATGACGGATATAGTCGTCAAACACACTTAACTGGTTAAGAAATATGCCGAGAAATTATGTATTATATTTTTATTAAAATGTACGTGTCGATCCGGAATCCAACGAAGTAGGTGTACACAGCGTTTTCTTCCTCTCACTGTGTCGGTGAATAGAGAGTTAATGGGAAGAGAGAGCTGAATCTATCGAACGTAAGCATTGGCGCGTGCAATACTAAATCATAATGCGATTCTAAAGGGGCGGGTTCAGTTCTGAATTTAGGTTATTCAGACAAAGGGGGAATGAAAGCGGAAAAAGTCATCTCTCTTCTCTATCCCTATATTATTTAGTTTCCTTTTCGCGTTGTTATTATTTATTACAAATAAAGCGACTCGCTAATTTTCAAAATAATTTCTGATGCTGTTTGAAGCGATATGGAAATCGATTAACGGGGACAGCAGAACGTGCAATTAAAATCGTAAATTGTAATTTCCGTCCAGCGAATTCGGGAGCGTGTAGTAAAAATGAAGAGGAATATAATATAATAACGTAATGACATGAATAAATGGTATTAGTTATAATAGGAAAATTATCTTTTATAAAGGCTGTCTCAATTAAAGGAAGGAACCACATAAATATCTTTTCTGTTTTTTATGTTATGAAAAAGTTTCTCGCGATAATCAAGCAATGACGGATATAGTCGTCAAACACACTTAACTGGTTAAGAAATATGCCGAGAAATTATGTATTATATTTTTATTAAAATGTACGTGTCGATCCGGAATCCAACGAAGTAGGTGTACACAGCGTTTTCTTCCTCTCACTGTGTCGGTGAATAGAGAGTTAATGGGAAGAGAGAGCTGAATCTATCGAACGTAAGCATTGGCGCGTGCAATACTAAATCATAATGCGATTCTAAAGGGGCGGGTTCAGTTCTGAATTTAGGTTATTCAGACAAAGGGGGAATGAAAGCGGAAAAAGTCATCTCTCTTCTCTATCCCTATATTATTTAGTTTCCTTTTCGCGTTGTTATTATTTATTACAAATAAAGCGACTCGCTAATTTTCAAAATAATTTCTGATGCTGTTTGAAGCGATATGGAAATCGATTAACGGGGACAGCAGAACGTGCAATTAAAATCGTAAATTGTAATTTCCGTCCAGCGAATTCGGGAGCCTGTAGTATAAGTGAAGAGGAATATAATATAATAACATAATGACATGAATAAATGGTATTAGTTATAATAGGAAAATTATCTTTTATAAAGGCTGTCTCAATTAAAGGAAGGAACCACATAAATATCTTTTCTGTTTTTTATGTTATGAAAAAGTTTCATTAAATGTCTGTAAATTTTTGAATATTTTGCCCTCTTATATCGACCACCATCTGAACTATGCAAAAATATTGCAAAGTATGGGCTTACACTATTCGATTTTATGTCTTCCGAGACAAAATTTGGTTCAATGATTAGTTTAAGGTACAATCCAGGGCCACGTGGTCCTTATTTTATTTAGATGTTTCTGTCGTTGGTATAAAATTGTTCTATTCTAAAATGTTCTACTCCGTAACACTTATTTTATTAAATATCCGTATAATCTCACTAGATGACCAGAATGCTCTAGAATGTATCTTAAACTAAACATTAAAATGAATTTTGTCTTGATTCTCTGAAAAAAAAGACGAATAGAATAGAAAATAAAGTAGAATCGACTGACTAAATCCATATTTTTGGCCAATTTAGTATATAACGTTAACATTTTTATCGTGCAGCTATCGAAGTCTGTTCCCTTAAACGTGCAATCCAAATCGTAAATTATATTTGTGTCCAACAAACTTGGAAACGTGTAATCAGAGTGAAGAGAAATAATAGCAGATATAACGTGAATAAATGGTATTAGTTATAATAACACAATCATTTTTTATTCAAGTTGCCTCAGCTAAAGCAGGCCGCCTAAATATCTCTTGTGTTTTTTATATTTTGAAATGTTTCATAGTATGATTTAAACGTGCAATAAAAATCGTGTATTATATTTACGTACAGCAAATTCAGGGAAGTCTGATAAAAATGAAAAAAAATACTAACAGGTATGAATAAATGATAATAGTTATAATAGTAGAATCATATTTGAGTCGTCTATTTTGA